TTAAGAAAATGTCTTGACACGTAACTAAACACTTGGAGGGAATGTGTTGCTGGGCTTGCAGGTCTAGGACCATAGTCTCAGGGACACTGGTCAAGTGGCAGAACACAGTCCACAAAGAAAGTGTTCTACATCCTACTTTGGTGAGTATCAAACTCACTGCCATTGAGTCAATGTCAACTCATAGCAACCCTCTCCCTGTAGGACAGGGTAGAAGTCCTCATCTTTATCCCCAGGATCAGCTGGGAGTTATGAACTGCTGGCCATGTGGTAAGGTAGGCCAGCACATAAGCACTACACCACCGGGGCTCAGGAGCTTTGCAGACCCCAGTTGGTGAACAGCGTGAGCGGCTCTCTGAGATGCAGCTGTTGGTCTCTGGTCGCCTGGAGCAAGGAAGCGTGAAGATGGCATGTAAACAATTCGTCCAATGGACCAATGGATCACAAAAGCATCACTTGAGACCAAAAGGTCTATGTGGTAGCCTGGCTTTAAAAAAGATCACATCGGAAAGTTCTGGATAGAGTGGAGGAAAGAGGTAGCACAAACCTCAAAATCATTAAAAAACAAAAGAAGCACAACAAATAAGAGGTTTAGATCATATAAAAACTGGTAGAACCCCTGACTATGACCCTTAGTCACCTGTCAGGTTTAGAAATGAACTCACCTCTTGGCTCACTTTTTGGCAAACCATCGGCAAGCCTACAAGGGGAATAATCACATTTGGGAAGTCCGCATGCCTTAGGATAATCCACCATTTGGGATCACAAAGACAAAGTCCTGAAGGGTTGGGAAAGGAGGGGGAAGGGAACTGTGGGGTGACCATCGATGATAGGAAACAAAATGACCTGTGGACGGAAACCTAACCTGCTCTGTAAACTTTCACCCCATTCAGAATGAGAAGTTTAAGTCAACACATACATTGAAATGTAAGTACGTAATAAACATGCAAGACATAAATTCAAGTCAAAGGTCAAAACCCCTGTGGGGGGAAAGAGCTTACTCAGTTCAGCCCTTCATTATAGAGGTCGTGAAGGAGACCAATTCCCCTTTTGTTTCATCCCTCATCTCAGTGATGTCACTGCATATGTAAATGTATTCATAACCCACCCTTTAAAAAGAAGCAAAGTCCCAGCTGACCTGAGCAATCCCTTCAAGACAGGTCTTGCCCCTTTGCCACACCTACTTTGTTCTTCTCTGGTTTCTGTCTTCAGAGTTAGACATTTTCTTTCAGTTATTCTATACAGCAGCAAGCTAAACTGTGTGTTTCAAATATTTATAATAGCAACTGTTATGCCCCCCGCCCCTGCAAAAAATGTAGGCTGGAAAACAAAACAAAAAACTCACTGTTATCAAATCACAGGGAGTCTAGGGGGCAGAGTAGAACTGCCCCTGGAGTGTTCAAAGCTGTCAATCTTTATGGGAGCAGAAAGCCCCATCTTTGTCCCACAGAACAGCTGGTGGGCTTGAACTGGTGACCTTGGAGTTAGCAGAATAAAGGATAACCCATTACACCACCAGCCTCAAATATCTGTGGATACACAAGTACAGTGAACCCTCACCACTTCGCGCTTCGACTTCCACGGCTTCACTCTATCGCGGTTTTGCGTAACAGCACCCACTGCCTACACCCGCTCCTTCAGAGGAAAAAGACGGCGACCCACCTGTAGAGTACATCCCTTAAGTCATTTCATAGGCTATTGATTACAGTATTTGTAAGAACTATGTATAATAATACTGTATGTGAAATATGTAATACTGTAAACTAGATGCCATAAATAATATAATAAATAATAAATGATAATTGTAACATCCAAAATGTTTTACTGTATTTTCCCTTTTTCGTTTAATAAATTGGGTAATACGAGTGTAATGGTGACTAAAGGGTGTTTTTTCATGTCCTCTATGCTCTACCTACGAAAATATTTGATTTACAAATAAGGAATCCTACTTCGCGGAATTTCATTTATCACGGTAGGGTCTAGAACCGATTAACCACGATAAACGAGGGTTCACTGTAATTCCATTTGGGAATCGAATTGTCGGTGTTATGTTCATGACACCTTATCAGTGAAGGTACAGAAACTAAGGAGCCCTGGTGGTTGCAGAGGTTGGCAGTTCAAGCCCATCCAGTGGCTCTGGGGCAATTTGCTCCTTCCTACAAAATTTTATGGAGCAGTTCGCTGTTGGATGTGGTGACTAAGGGTCAAAAAGCCTCAAGGGCATCTAACTACCACAGGGGATGGGATCCAGCAAGTTCCAATGGGCGAAGACAGATGCCCCACCATAGGAAGATCACCAAGGAAGCAAGGAACAGAAGCTGAAGAGATCTCTGGCCTCCTCAGAAAGGCTCCCCGGTGACGCGGTGGTTCAAGCACTCTACTGCGAATCAGAATATCAGTGGTTTGAACTCCCCACTTGCTCCTTGATAGAAAGATGGGGCAGTCTGCTACGACAAAGATTTGGAGCTTTGGAAACTGTGAGGCAGTTCTACTCCGCACTATAGGGTCTGTGAATTGGAAATGACTCCGGTAGCGGTCTTAGGGGCTCTTTTATAACTAAGAGAATACATTTCTGTGCCGTAGAACCATCCTCTCATGGTACTTCTGTGACAGCAGCACTAAGAATGCCAGGCAGGGGCCTGACCCACAGAGAGATAAAGTCCACACTGTGATCCCAGCTGAAGCTGAACCCAAAGTCCCATAAACCCAAACTTACAGCGGCGACCTGAATCCAATGGTTGTGAAGCATTCTATTTTATTTCCTGTTTTAAAAAATGCTAAGGGGATAGCACGAGTCACTTGCAGTTTTCAGGAGCACGAGTTGAACCCCTTACTGGCTGGTAATTTCATGCAAACAGAAACCAAAACATGGAAAAGTTTTAAATATTAACCTCAGAAGCTCCACTCCTCCCCGACACCCCAATGTGCCCCCTGCATTCACATATGTTTTAAAGAAATGGAACCTGAGACTCCTGTGTGACTTGTGGAGGCAATGCCCAGAGAGGGGGATGTTTTCAGGAAACACCCAAATATATTTGTTCAAATTGTTCACTCCAGGTGAAGAAGCGCATTTGGTTTCAAAGACTGTCCAAAGCGATTCACAAAGCCTTGACCAGAAACAGAATAGGCAGGGATGGGCAGGGCAGGGGGTCGAGGGTGGGGTGGGAGGTGGTCTGCTGTTCGTAAGCCATTACATTTTAAGTTCTGGGTAGGGAGGCAGTCTGTCTCTTCCTCCAGAATGCAAGTGCCATTCAGACAGGTGTGGAACCCCAGCACTCAGGACCTACCTGGCACACAGCATTTAACATACTAATGCCCGCTAACATTTTGCTTAATAATCTGAAGTCAAAAGAATGGAGCTCATTGCCACCTTCAAACCATACGCCTATGTGGATGAAGGGGCTCCCAAAAGTTTGTAGGCAAAGAAAGAGTAATGTAAAGATCATGGAAAATTTCCACCACCTTTTTGAAGCCCCTTCCTATATGACGCATTTCACAATCCTTAATTAGTACACTTCTATTGGAATGCCTAAATGTCATGCCCTAAGAAATGGAATTCTTGCCTATCTCAAATTCATCTTGGAAGTTCAGGGAGCTTAATGAAGTCTGTTTTGGTTAGCAGTCACTAAATGGGAAAAGGATGGATTCTCTACCAAGGTAGGCAGGATACACCTGCATGGAATGGCAAGATCTCCCATCTGCTAGTGGCCATGGTCAGCTCCTAAATGGCTAGATTAAAACGAGTGTGAGTGTGTTCATTTAATAGGCAGTTTCTCAAGGGACACTAAGCAGCCAAGGGCTTTTCTCTGATGGAAATGGTGCCAATTTCTCTGTGAAGCGCAGTTACCATCATAACCCCTGAAGTCAGAAGTGCCTGCACCCAATTTCCAGTAACCCCAGGGCCCCGGAGCTGAAAAAATTACACCTGCGAGGCAAGCATTTTCCCACACTGCCCCACACAAGCAGCAGCTCATTTAAACCGTGCCCTTCAGCCCCATTTAGGAACACCATTATGATTTCAAATTACAACTGTTGCTTTATCTCCAAACTGTGATAAATAGAGCTGCGTTCATGATGCTCTTCTTTGCAGTCATTCATCTGCTCTTATCTCAGGGCCAAAAAAAAAAAAGATGTTGAGGCAAGTGCTAACCTGCCAGAGCTTCCTATTATAGCTACAACCCGTCTTGCCCTCCCCTTTCCACTCCAGCACCCCTCCCTGTCCGGATTGTTTGAATTGAGGCAGCAGCCTGCAGTAAGGAACTCCAAATGGCTCCAATCGCAAAACAGGAAGGAATTCACCAGCCTGGGAGTGAGTCATCCTTGGGCTCAGGGAGCGCAGGAACGCAGGGCCTTCCCTCATCCTGGTAGACCATTCACCCCGACCCGTTCCCCCAGGTCAACAAGAGCTCCACTTTGGGAGAAAGAACAAGTCTTTTAAGGAGGATGATCCGGCCATCCACATACTCATACAGAAACATCCGCTTCAACACGAGGTGGAACCCAGCCCGCTGCCCGCCGGGCGGGGTGGACAGGCCAGTGTGTGCTGTTCACTGGCAGTTCAGTGGCAAGGGAGGAATGCCCACCACGTTTGACAAAGCCACAACTACTGAGATTTGACTTAGCGCCCACAGCCTCTAGCTTCTGTGCCAAAATCTCTCCGATTTATTTTCAGGCAAGTGACTCACAATCTTGTCTCCTGAAGTCATTCCATCAAAATGACTCGCCAGTTCCACTAACCCGACTTTCCGCTGTCCCTCCCACCACTCCGCCCATCCTGCAGCGGACAGCTCATAGACTGAGCAATTGTACCCTAGGGGGACAGAAGGTGGCTTCTCCCATCTGGCCCCACCCTCGGGAAGGATGAATGGGGTTGCACAAGGGCGGAGCAGCGAAGGGAGGGGGCTTGCAGACAGTGATCGGTGTGTATGTGTGGGTGGGTGGGTGTGTGTGGGTGTGTGTGCGCGCGCGCGCGTGCGTGGGCACGTACCCGGCAGCCAACTTACAGAGGTGGAGTTGGTCCTCGCCTGCCCCTGGTTCCGCACCTCCTGCTCCCGGAACTGCAGCCCGGCCAGATGCTTCTCCAGCGCCTCCCAGTCCATGGGGGGCACCGGGGGCTCCTCTGGGACGCACGTTCCACCGTCCGGGGGTTGGAGGCCTAGCCTTGCCGCTGCGGGGCCCCGGCCGCGCCGGCCCACAGCGGGCTGGGGCTTCTGGAGCGACCGGCGGGGGCCCCGGGGGCCGTTCGGGCGGCTGGCCACGAGCACATTGCCATTGTGCCTGAGGTCCTGGGGGTCGTGCATACGGAGGTTACCGTTAGGCATGGGGGGCGGCATGGCGGGGGCGGCACTCCTGCCGGTGCGGACACTCACGTCCCCCGGCGCTCGGGCCGGACAGCGGTCATCCCGGTACCCTCGCTCGTCCTCCACGCGCTCGTCCTCCTCTTCCTCCTCCTCCCCGTCTTCCTCCGGTGCCCACTCATCAATTACCTTCTTCGGGTAGCCCGGGAAAGGCTCCTCATAGTCCTCCAGGGCAGACACCAAGTCCAAGCTGCCCCCCGGCGACGACGAGGATTTGCACTCGGAGCAAGGAGTCACTTTGGTGGAGTTGGACTGGGAACTGGCGCGGCTGCTGCTGCTGCTGCTGCTGCCGGCGTCACTGCCTAGATCCATCCCATCCTCTCGGTAATCCTGCGGGGGGAGGTGGAGAGTGAG